CCCAAAACCCCAAAACCCCAAAACCCCAAAACCCCTCTTTAGGCAAATTCCTTTGAAAATTATATATTTTGATATCCAGAAAACAATATAAAAATGTGTCTAAGGTTCAGAAGGTAAGCCCCATAGTGACCATAGAGTGGACATGTTCCAGCAGAACATCTTCTTCACCCTTAAAGGAAGGTCTTCCTACGCCACTGTCCCGGGAGCTCTGGTGTCCCTGCTCGCGATGATTGTTTTGGCGGCATATGGAGGAGCCTTGGTGTTGAGAATGGTCAAACGGAGGGAAGTCAACTGGAGCACCAATTCATATTTCAAAGATCTTAAATAGTGATGATGTGAGTAATTACCTCAGATTTGTCCGATATAACACCCATCTTTATTGTTCTAAAGATTAATTGTTTTTCTTTTTAGAGTATGTTAGAGCTCGATGATAATCATCCAAAAATAATGCTAAATTACCGTTTTGAAGAGCCTGATTCTTTTCCTAAAGAAATCGATCTTCCAGGTTATTCTCAATATGTAACAACAACCAATAATAATTACAAATTCAAGGGGACTTATTTCTCAAACGGAAGACCCATCCTCGAAGGGACTGACAGAAATTCGGAGATTAAGTACGCTTACCTAATTTTCTTATAATTACATTCTTTATAGTAACTTATTTTATAATTGCACAAAAGAATTTGATTCCAATCTCATAAATCGAGATACGATGCTGAGCGATGTCAAGTTTCTTTGTCCAAATTACACAAACTTTCAGTACTCAGGAAATGAACTTAACTCAAGAAGCCATTACTTATCTATCACAAGAATAACCCCTTGAAGATATAACTGTGTTGATCTTTCAACTAAAGAATGGAATGCAATGTCAAAGAAGAGTCGTCTTAACTTTTACATGAAGAATAAATATGTAGATCTTAACGACATCGACAACCCGATTAAATACAGAACAACAAACTACAATTTCTACAATACTTCAGAAGGAGGATTCACTATGTATTTTAAGCTGGTCAAGAATGAAGTAATCCTAGAAGACTCGTATTGGCCGACCTGGCGAATATGGACAGAGCCGAACCCAATTGTATTCTATACATTGGAACTACATCATGGCTCAGCTTTTCATGAAAAGCAGTTCAAAATTGTGATCGAAACGGGAGACGAAGTCAGACAATATAGGAGGAAATTCCTCTCCTTTCTAGAAGTGACAGGAACCATCGGAGGTATCTTCGAACTCATTGAGATCATATTTGGCTTTGCCATTGGGATCTATTCTTCATACATGTTCAAGCGAGACCTTACGAAGTACCTCGACCAAGCTAGTCATGAAGTGGAGCAGATTGAGGGAGTGCTTCACGAAGGTAATAATGAACAATCAAATACAAAGAAGGAGCCTAATCAAGCTGATCAAGATGAAGAGTAAGTTGGAGAAAAAAGAGTGTTGTGGATTGATAAAATATGTCTTTCTTTAATTATTCTTACACTATTTATTATTTTTAGATCAAAAGATTTTCAAGATCAAGTACTCAGATTTGATGAAGAGTCTAAACTTTATGAAAGCTCCAATAAAATAATTCTCCAACAGGTTTCTCCTCAAGTAAGACAATAAATAACTAGTCCAGAGCAAAAATTCTTGTAAATAACAATGATGGGATGAGACAAAAAGAGTCTTCAACTTCCAAACATAAATCCATCCACGAGAAACTAATGCCTTTTGAATCTGAGAAGTTTCTCGATTACGATTCATTCAAAAGCAACCTCGACTGAGTTCAAATTATCAAAGACATCAAAGTGCTACAACAAAAAGTGGCGTTTCTCATCGAAACGAGTCCAGTCTTGAATGGTCAAGCCACACTCACTCATGCTAAAAAGACACAGAAATAACTCTGAAGCCAATAGGGCAGGAGTCAGCAACAAAGGGGCCGCCAATATAAACAGGAATTATACAATGGCCACGAAAACTCAAGGGAGAGATTCAAAGAGAAGTCGAGTGTTTCCATTCTCAGACTCAAAAACTTGTTCTTCCAAATAGCATTTGTAAGCCTCGACTGTTTAAAAGTCCGAGCAAGTTCAAAAGCAGAATTCTAAACTACAAAGCAGAAGACAGCCAAGAAGAAGAACCTAAATCTGATTCCATAGATGCATCCAAAAGCTTTGATTACCTTTAAGAATATTAATAACACTCGAAGTGTGTTAATTTACTTTATCCACAAATTCCCTCTCAATTTCCAAAAACACTACTGGGGTTTTGGGGTTTTGGGGTTTTGGGGTTTTGGGG